AAATAGAGCTGCTGTAGATTTTTTGCTCTTAGCACATGGGCATGGATGTGAAGAGTTTGAGGGAATGTGTCGCATGAATTTGATCATTCGGTGTGCATTCACACTAAGATAAAAGAACTGCAACAGGGACTTCACCATCTTAAAGAAGAAGAAGGTTTAGGAATTGACAAATGGCTTAAAAGCTTAGGGCTTGGACCATGGCTAAGGAACATTGTGACATATGCTATCGGCTTACTGGGTGTGATCTTAATGTTTTTGCTTATTTTACCTTGTGTCTTTAATTATATTCAAAGCATGGTTAGCCGTATGATAGCAAAAACCTGGCAAACTAATCTCCTTGCTCAAGAAGAAAACGGGGGAAATGTGGAGAGGTTGGTTAATAGCTGGTTAAGTGAGAAAGGCCATCCTGACATAATGCCGCTGGTTAAGCTTGAAAGGGAGGTCAGCAGTCTCTGATTCAGTGACTGCTGACAGGCAAGAATGCCGGATGACCTTGCTGCAACATGAGGAAAGGGAGGTGAGATTAGTCCTGAATATCTGCAGAATGTAACAAAAGAATAAGCACAAGAATGCAGAAGTAGGTGTAGTTGCTGATATGTAACTAACCAATCCTGAGCTCAACTTTTGCAATATGTATGAAGCTTATTAAGAACTGTATTTAACCCGCCGTATTCCATCAATAAATTGGATTTGGATGAACCAATTGGTGTCTGGGTCTCCTTCCTCCGACATCTCTGGTAGAGATTGGGGACCAAACAACCAGAGTGAAGGTTTGGGGATGGGCTCCGGGCAGCCGTGAAGGTGCTGGAGCGCGGGGGGGACCTCCAGCCCCCTGGGGGGTCCCTGCGCCTCCTCTGCCTAGGGGCCAGGTTCAGTTTTGGCAGTTATGAGATGAACTGGGTCCGCCAGAGACCAGGGCAGAGGCTGGAATGGGTCGCGGGGATCACCAACAATGCTGGTGGGACCGAGTACGCGCCATCGGTCAAGGGCCGGTTCACGATCTCCAGGGACAACAGGCAGAGCTCGGTGATGCTGACCATGAACAACCTCAAGGACGAGGATTCCGCCACCTATTTCTGTGCCAAATCTTACGGCACTGGTAGCCCTGCTGCTGCTGCTGCCTATACTGACCATGCCGGTGGTGGCATCACCATTTCAGAGCCCCTCCTCTTCCCAAATCTCAGACCCTTCCTCCAAATCTCAGCCCTTGACCCCATTCTTGACCCTTTGTCCCAGATCTCCCCCATTTCCAACACCACCAACCACAGAGCCGAAACCCGCGAACTGGTTCTGCCCCAAATCCAAATAAGTTGGCACCAGAAATCGCCTGAATCTGCCCCAAATCCCTACTTGTGCTCCCTGCAGCAGCAGCCGCTGACAAGAATCCTCAACCTTTGTCCCCAAATTGAGACCCTGGGCCCAAAACCCAACCCTTTGAGCAAAATTTGGGAACAAAGAGGAGATTTGGGGTCAGGAGTTGTGGTTTGGGGTCAGCAGGTGAGAATTGGGGCCGAGGCAGAGCAAGGTTGGGATCAATGGCCAAGGGCTGGATGTGCGCAGGGGGTTTGGGGGAAGGGTCTGGGGAACGGGGACAGGAGGGGGAAACGGGGATGGGGGTGGGGACACCATGGGAATCGTCACTATGACCAGCACTTTCAGGGTAATTATTAGCAGCACACTTGGCGCAGAAAAAAACGGTGGAACCCTCGTCCGTGAGGTTGTTCATGGTCAGCGTCACCGAGCTCTGCCCGTTTTCCCTGGAGATCGTGAACCGGCCCCTGACCGATGGCGCGTAGAAGGTGTAGGCACTATTGTAGTAGATGCCTGCGATGTATTCCAAAGCCTGCCCGGGTCTCTGGTGGATCCAGTTCATTCCATAATCCCCAAAACTGAACCCGGACCCTCGGCAGAGGAGGTGAAGGTAGCCCCCAGGGGGCTGGATGTGCCCCCGCACTCCAGCAGGGTCACGGCCGCCCGGAGCCCTGCGGGAAAAAGGGGAGATGGGGATGGGGCGCCTGATTGAGCAAGCAGGGGAGAAGGGGCGTGGCTTGTGGAAAAAAGGGGTGGGGCCCACATAGAAGCAGCAGCAGGATCCCCAGGGCCAGGAGCCGGAGGGAGCTCGAGGCCGTGGCCGGGATGTGCCCGGGTTGGGGCCCCGGGGTGAATTGGGGGTCGTTAACAGTGTATTAACTGTGTAATCAATGCAGAATGCTCAGGATGAGGTTTCTAATTAATTAAAGAATTGATTGGAGTTTATTGCAGTTTTCAGGCATGTTGAGATATGGAAAACTCTGGTGGGGTTTTGGGGCTAAACAAGGGGAGTTATGAGAGAAATTGGTGAAGGTTTGGGGATGGGCTCCGGGCGGCCGTGACCCTGCTGGAGTGCGGGGGGGACCTCCAGCCCCCCAGGGGGTCCCTGTGCCTCCTCTGCTGAGGGTCCGGGTTCGATTTTGGCAGATTTGGGATGGGCTGGATCCGCCAGAGACCTTGGCAGGGGCTGCATTGGTTGCAAGTATCTCCAGAGGTGGCAGCCCCTACTACGCACCATTGGTCAAGGGCCGGTTCACGATCTCCAGGGATAACGGGCAGAGCTCGGTGACGCTGACCATGAACAACCTCAAGGACGAGGATTCCGGATCCTATTTCTGCGCCAAACGTGCTTATGCTGATAATTGGAGTCCTGGTGCTTCTGCTAAAGGCCCCCATGTTGGATCCCTCCCCATCTCAGTGTCCCCTCCTGTCCCCAATTCCCTGACCATTCCCCCAAATCTCAGCACTTGATCCATTCTTGACCCTTTGTCCCAGATCTCCCCCATTTCCACCACCACCAACCACAGAGCCAAACCCCCTGATTAGGTCTGTCCCAAACCCAACTGCTTTGGCCCCCAAAGTCGCCCGATTTTGCCCCAAATCCCCACTTGTGCTCCCTGCAGCAGCAGCTGCTGAAAAGAATCCTCAAACTTTGTCCCCAAATCGGGACCCTGGGCCTCAAACCCCGACCTTCCGAGCAAAGTTTTTGGGCACAAAGAGGAGATTTGGGGTCAGGAGTTGTGGTTTGGGGTGAGCAGGTGAGAATTGGGGCCGAGGCAGAGCAAGGTTGGGATCAATGGTCAAGGGCTGGGTGTGGGCAGGGGGTTTGGGGGAAGGGTCTGGGGAACGGGGACAGGATGGGATATGGAGATGAGGGCACAACCATCATCATGACCCCAATTAGCAGCAGCACCACCATCACCAGTACCAGCAGATTTTCCGCAAAAATAAATGGTGCAATCCTCGTCCTTGAGGTTGTTCATGGTCAGTGTCACCGAGCTCTGCCCGTTGTCCCTGGAGATCCTGAACCAGCCCTTGAAGGATGGATTGTAGTAGGCGTTGCCACTGCTGGTGATCCCTGTGAGCCACTCCAGAGTCTGCCTGGGTCCCTGGCGAAACCAACTGAATCCAAAACTCCCGAAACGCAACCCGGACCCTCGGCAGAGGAGGTGCAGGGACCCCCCGGGGGGCTGGAGGTCTCCCCTCCACTCCAGCAGGGTCACGGCTGCCCGGAGCCCTGCGGGACAAAGTGGAGTTGGGGATGGGGCGATGCAAAACTCAGGCTGAGGTGTCCAATTAATTAATGGGTTGATTGGGGCTCATTGCAGGGTTTAAGGAACTTTTCAATACAGGAAAGCTCTGCTAGAAATTTGAGGCAAGAAAAAAGGTTTCTGGGGCAAAACCAGTGAAGGTTTGGGGATGGGGGAGCGGCCGTGACCCTGCTGGAGTGCGGGGGGCACCTCCAGCCCCCCGGGGAGTCCCTGCGCCTCCTCTGCCGAGGGTCCAGGTTCAGTTTTGGGAATTTTGGGATGGGCTGGTATCGGCAGAGACCAGGTTAGGGGCTGGAGTGGCTCGCGAGTATCCACAGCAGTGGCAGCACCGACTACGCACCATCAGTGCAGGGTCGGTTCAGGATCTCCAGGGACAATGGGCAGAGCCCGGTGACGCTGACCATGAACAACCTCAAGGACGAGGATTGCGGATCCTGTTTCTGCGCCAAGGGTTTTGCTGCTTATGCTGGTGATAACGATGCCTGCTGTATTGACCCCATCCCCATTGCTGCGTCCCCCCCTGTCCCTATTCCCCAGACCTTTCCCAGCTCCCAGCCCCCGACCCAGCCCATGACCATTTCTCCATTTCCCTTTCCCCTCTCTGGCCCCAAACCCCAACCCTTGGCCATTGATCTTCCCCCAAACTCTGCCCCAAAGCTTAGCGCTGGGCCCGGGGCTGGGGACATGAATTCAGTCACCGAGAGTGGGGACGAGCGCTGGGATTGGGGGGAGGGTCTGGGGTTTGGGGACATTTGGGGACACAGCGATGGGGGTGGAGTCAATAGCATTGGCACCATGGTCATCCCCAACAGCCCCAGCAGCTTTGGCACAGAAATAGGATCCGGAATCCTCATCCTGCAGATCGATCATGGTCAGGGCTGTGAAGCTCTGCCCATTGTCCCTGGAGATCCTGACCCGGCCCTTGACCGACAGCGCATAGTAGGTGAAACCCCCAGAGCTGTGGATCCCCGCGAGCCATTCCAGCCCCTGCCTGGGGCTCTGGCGGATCCATTGCATGGAGTGACCCCCGAAACTGAACCCGGACCCTCGGCAGAGGAGGCGCAGGGACCCCCCGGGGAGCTGGAGTTCCCTCCCGCACTCCAGCAGGGTCACGGCCGCCCGGAGCCCTGCGGGACAAAGGGGAGATGGGGGTGAGCAAGTGCAAAAGTCAGGCAGAGCTGTCAGAATAATTAATGGGTGCACTGGGGCTAATTGCAGGGGTGAAGGCACTTTACCATTCAGGACACCACTGTTGGATGTCTGGGGACAAACAAAGGGAATTGGTGGCAAAACCACTGAAGGTTTGGGGATGGGGGAGCGGCCGTGACCCTACTGGAGTGCGGGGGGAAACTCCACCCCCACGGAGGGTCCCTGCGCCTCCTCTGCCGAGAGTCTGGGTTCAGTTTCGGCAGTTTCACCATGTACTGGATCCACCAGAGACCCCGACAGGCGCTGGAGTGGCTGGCGGGGATCACCAGTGGTGGCACCACCGCCTACACGTCGTCTTTCAAGGACTGGGTCACGATATCCAGGGACAACGGGCAGAGCTCGGTGACGCTGACCGTGAACAACCTCAAGGACGAGGATTCCGGATCCTATTTCTGCGCCTAATGTGTTGATGATGGTACTGGCTGGGAGACTGTTGCCTATCGTGTTGACCTCATGTCCTTTAGCAGAGTCCACAGAGATTGCGCGAGCTCCATGCAGGATTGAGACGTAACAGCTGGAACTGCTCAGTAATGATGGGACAGCAAAATGATCTCCTGTCTTCTGCCTCTCACACCAGAGCTTATCTCTGTAACCCCATTGGTGACTTCTCCCTGACCCTCACTGTTGGGCACGTTTGGATCCCCCTGTACCCTATAAAAAGGGGCTGGTTTATCCCATCTGACTGGAGAAGAGCTGTCGCTGGAACCCCTCACAGATCCCTCAATGAACCATGGCTGTGGAACCACCAGGACCTCTCCTGCTCCTTTCTGTCTGTCTGTTTCTGCCCCAGCCAAAGGCGCCCCACAGAGTGAGCAAAGAGTTGGAATCCTGAGAGCTGAGAATCCCTTACGAGCTGAAACCCTGAGAGCTATAATCAATAAAAGAGCTGGAATCCTGAGAGCTGAGAATCACTAAAGAGCTGAAGTCACGGAGCTTGCTGAGATGGTGGCATCTCTGAGCTGATTGGCTGTTGGGGCTCTCTGTCTCCAAGATTTATCCAGATTGGCCAGCATGGCTCGGGGATCAGCACAAATCAGACATCTGGGTCTTATCAGGGTTGGGACAAGGGGACAGCAATGGGGTCAGGGCTTGGGGTTTGTGGGAAGGGCCTGGGGAATGGGGACAGGAGGGGAGCAAGGGCACGGGGACGAGGACAAAATGATAAGCATCAGCATAAGCCCAATTATCACCATAAGCACGTTTGGCACAGAAATAAGTGGCGGAATCCTCGTCCTTGAGGTTGTTCATGGTCAGCGTCACCGAGCTCTGCCCGTTGTCCCTGGAGATCGTGAACCGGCCCTTGAATGATGGCGCATAGTAGGTAAGAACCATAGTAAGAACCATCATACCTGATCCCTGCGACCCACTGCAACCCCTGCCCGGGCCTCTGTCGAGCCCATTCCATTTCAAAACTGCCAAAACAGAACCCGGCCCCTCGGCAGAGGAGGCGCAGGGACCCCCTGGGGGGCTGGAGGTCCCCCCCGCACTCCAGCAGGGTCACGGCCGCCCAGAGTCCCACGGGAAAAAGGGGAGATGATGGAAATGAGAAACCTGATTGGTCAAGGGCCCCTAAGTTTGTGTGGCCAGCTGGACAAAGGGGTGGAATCCACCTGGGAGGAGGATGATGAACTCTAAAGATCCCAGTTTGGGGCCAAGGGTCAGGATTTGGGTCAAAGGTTGAGCTTTGGCCTCATACCCATCTCCCCTTTGTCCCGCAGGGCTCCAGGTGGCCGTGACCCTGCTGGAGTGTGGGGGGGACCTCCAGCCCCCCAGGGGGTCCCTGCGCCTCCTCTGCCGAGGGGCCGGGTTCGATTTCGGATATTATGGAATGTTCTGGATTCGCCAGAAATCTGGGAAGACACTGGAATACCTCACAAGTATCAATGGTGTTGGCACCACCCACCACGCGCCATCAATCAATGGTCAGTTCACCATCTCCAGGGACAACGGGCAGAGCTCGGTCATGCTGACCATGAACAACCTCATGGACGAGGATTCCGCCGTTTATTTCTGCACCAAACGTAGCAATAATGAGTATGGTTTTTCTGGTCCTGCTCTTATTGTCGACAATTCTGTCAGCGGTCCACCCCCATGTTGGTCAAAAAATGTCTCCAATGCCCAGCCATCCTTCCCGGGCATCCCAGCCCTTTGTGTCAAATGTTCACCATTTTCCCCCAAACTTTGCCCCATCCTTCCCCTAGTCTCGATTGTCTTCCCAATTTTTTCCATTTCACCCAAATCTCCCCCAGCTCCCCAGGCCATGATTGGAGGAGGCCTGAACTGGAGGCCAAGGGTGAATGTTTGGGGCCAATGTTTGAGTTTTGGGGCACGAGCAGGGGAGGGTTTTGGGGTCAGTGCTGACCATTTAGGCAAATGGGGGAGATTTGGGACAAAGGGTAAAGGGCTGAGGTTTGGGGGAAGGGTCTGGTTTTGGGAGAGGATGGAACTCAAAATTGAGGACTCAGAAAAAACCACCGTGACCAACATCATCACAATCAATGTCTTTACCAGCAGCAGGGCCGCAACAATCATCCCAACTTTTGGCACAGAAATAGAATCCGGAATCCTCGTCCATGAGGTTGTTCATGGTCAGCGTCACCGAGCTCTGCCCGTTGTCCCTGGAGATCGTGAACCGGCCCATGACCGACGGCGCGTAGTAGGTGGCACCGCTGCTCCAGATCTCTGCGACGAATTCCAGCCCCTGCCCGGGTCTCTGGCAGATCCAGAACATTGCAGATTTTGTGAAATTGAAGCCAGATGTTTGGCACAGCAATGTCAGGGACCCCCCGGGGGGCTGGAGGTCCCTCCCGCACTCCAGCAGGGTCACGGCTGCCCAGAGCCCTGCGGGACAAAGGGGAGATGGGGGTGGGGAAAAAAATCAACCCAAATATTAAATCTTGCATGCAGATCCGGATGCTGGCCTCAAATTGGGACCCTTGGAGTTCACCATCCTCCTCCTGCAGCACCTGCCAATCCTCCCAGGTGGAACCCACACACTTCTGGCATGGCGGTGCCCACTTTGGGTCCGCAGCCAATCCAGCTCCTCCTCCCCATCTCCCCTTTTTCCTGCAGGGCTCCGAGTGTCCGTGACCCTGCTGGAGTGCGGGGGGGACCTCCAGCCCCCCGGGGGGTCCCTGACGTTGCTGTGCCGAGGGTCTGGGTTCGATTTTGGGAATTTCAACATGGGCTGGATGCGTCAAAGACCTGGGAAGGGGCTGGAATTCATGGCAGGGATCAGCAACAACGGTGGCAACATTGGCTACGCGCCATCGGTCAAAGGTCAGTTCACGATCTCCAGGGACAACGGGCAGAACTCGGTGACGCTGACCATGAAAAACCTCAAGGACGAGGATTCCGGATCCTATTTCTGTGCCAGACGTCACAAATATTGCGGCGCTAGTTATGTTTTTATTGATGATGCTCTCAGCGATCCCATGCCCTTGATGGTCACCAAATGTCTCCAATTGCCACAGATTCTTCCCCAAAATCCCAGCCCTTCTCCTCAAATCTTGGCTGTATTCCCCCAAACTCTGCCCCTGTTGCCGCAGCCCTGGAGTTTCCCCAGTTTTGCCCATTTCACTCAAATCTTCCCCATCTCCCTGAACTCTGATTTATTGATGGGCACAGTCAAAAATGGGAACTCTTGGAGAGCAAGGCCTGAACTGGGGGACGTGTTTGAATGTTTGGGGCCAATGGTTGAGTTCTGGGGCAGGAGCAGGGGAGGGTTTGGGGTCAGTGCTTACCATTGGGGCAAATGGGGGAGATTTGGGACAAAGGGTCAAGGGCTGAGGTTTGGGGGAAGGGTCTGGGATTGGGGACAAGAGGGGCTCTGATGGGGTGGTGCCACCACCGGAATGGTCAATATAAGCAGCAGCATAAGCGCTACCAGTATTGTAAGATTTGGCAGAGAAATAGGTGGCAGAATCCTCGTCCTTGAGGTTGTTCATGGTCAGCGTCAGCGAGCTATGCCCGTTGTCCCTGGAGATCGTGACCCGGCCCTTGACTGATTGCATGTAGTAGGCACTGCCACTGCTGCTGATACTTGCTACTGCTTCCAGCCCCTGACCAGGCCTCTGGCGATGCCAGCCCATCCCAAAATTTCCAAAACCGAAACCGGACCCTCGCCAGAGGAGGCGCAGGGACCCCCCGGGGGGCTCGAGGTCCCCCCTGCACTCCAGCAGGGTCACGGCCGCCTGGAGCCCTGCGGAACAAAGGGCAGATGGGGATTTTTGCCTTCTGGAGCAAGGCAGGCGACCTGGTTCAGAGGAACAGCACGGCGGCCCAAACTCTCCAGGGCCGCTTGGGCCAATGACACACGCAGGCATCAATATGATGGACGGTCAAAAGGCCTTTATTATCTCCTCTCTTGGGTTTTTATAGTCTAAGGGGTCTCTACATCAGTGTGGGTCTGTCTTTACCGTCTATGGTTAGTAAGGGGTGGACAGTTACTGGGTAGGGGATGGAAAATTACCGGTATTTGGTTGAGGGAGGCTACCTTCCTATGTTAGTTTCTTATCTATGGGAAGCAGATCGTCTTATCTAAGGGGAACACAGGGTCCTGCCTTTCCGTGACATCGCGAGATCTTCCGCAGCGCCTTTCCCTATCTACCACATCTCCCCCGCCTTTTTCACAAATGAATGAGGTAGTCATATACATAGGTACTGAAGTGAGGTATAAGGTTGAAGTTCGACAAGGGAAAGGGGTCTTGGGAAACCTGAGTAAGCTTTTGCCAGACAAGTTCGGAAAGTCTTGTGACTGGCTGTGTTCCCTGGTTGAATTCCCTGGTTGAATTCTCTGCAATTGTCGTTGGCCTAAGAACCGAATGTTGGTCCGTTCCAGGCGGCTCTGAACGAACGAGACCAGCTTGTTCAGCAGGCATGGTCCGAAGGCGACTGTTAGAAACCTGTCAATATTTCTCTTTTGTGGATCCGGCTGTGTCCCTCAAGAAGATGGTACATTTCTTCGTCTGAGTGGTACAGGACCCTAGGAACAATCAGAACTTGGACACAGAAGTCGTTAGAGTCATTGAATTTGGGAAGGAACACACAAGGACTCACTCCGGATCGCTGGCAAACCCACCTCCCAGATGCGGATGGGACTGCCCTCTTATTGTTTTTCCTGTTAGGCTAGACGATTTTAGTGCAGACGTTGCTCCTCCGCCTAGCTAGGGTTGCATTGCCAAAGCATCTGCCTCGGCCTGTGACTTGACTCGGGGTGATTCCTTTGCGAGGGGTATCCCATCTGCACTGGTGAGGGGCATTGGCTGTGGAGTAACTGAAGGGAGTGTTTAGAGCGACTCCTTCGTAAAAGGGGGGTTTGACATCGTAACAAAGCCAGCAGGATTCGGTTAGGTTAGGGTTGGATTCGTTCAGGGCTACAAAGGTAGCTTCTAACATACGAAGGATTGGGTCTGAGTCTGACTCAGTTAAGCGGCTCATCTGAAAGGTTTCCGCTTGACCATTCGGGACTTTGCTGACCCCTGTGGGTAAGGTTTTGGGGTAGGTTACATTTCTCCCTTTCGGTACGCTTTTAGTCGCTTTGTTGGGTCCGACCGCTCGGGGTGCTGACAGTTGGAGCCTGATAATTTGCACGTTCGCCCTCTCTTTTGACCCTTGAAGGACCGCTGTCCACGTTTTGCCTGTGGCCCAGCTAGGGTGATCTGGCTACAAGACCGTCATGTTGTAGTCAGTGCATGCCCGAAATCTAGGGATTTTATGTTGGTTTCGATGGAAGTTTCCGTGAGAGAAGAAGGGTATTCTGCAGCCGATGGGTGCCCAGGTGAATTGTAAGAATTTGTCTGGCTCTTGTGGATCCCACCCAGGCCCTGATGGTCTGGCATCTGTAACTATGGTTTCGCAGCCCCAGTGCCCACAATATCCCCACCCTGGTTGATTGCAGTAGCTTTTCCCAGGGTTTGAGGCTGGGCACCAGTAGGATAGGTACGAGTGTGTGACGTGTGGGGAATAGGGGTGTACCTTTGGCTGTCCTGGAAACCGGTCGGTGATGCGGAGCACGGTGTGGCGATTTCTCTGAGTACTTTGCCCCTACTAAGGTGTCGCATGACGCACCTGAAGGGCCGATGGGGGTAGTGGTCTGGGCTGGCTTGCTCCCTGGCAACAAGCCCCAACAGCAAAATCCCACAGAAACCCTTGGTGCTTGGGTCTCACCCGTGCGGGTCTCTCGGGTGCTGCCTGGCGGCTTGGTGGTCTGTCTCTTTCATCTGGAACCGGGATGTGCGCGTCACGAGGACGTCTCATGAGCAGGTCCTGTAAACAAATGCTTGCAATTCTCGTCAGTCTCATTCTGCTCGCTATGAAGGTCCGGTTTAATCGACTTAAGTAGGCACCACCTGATTTTGCCGTCCTTTTTGACTGCTGCGTACCCTCACCCCGTGAGCATCAGCCTCCAACCCCGTTCTCACTCGCCTAGCTCGTTTCTGATTACCACCTGTGGGCCCTCTTCTAGCGTTTGAGTGGCCCAGTGTTTTTGGATGGGACTGTTTGTTTCATCTCCCCTAGGGAATTGATTCAGTGCCAGCAAAGCGGTTGCCAGCATATGTGCCTGATCTCCTGGGGGAATGGCATTGGCAAAGCCTTCTGCTTTTGCCAACACTTCTATCTTGGTTTTCAGGGTCTGGTTTGCTCTCTCAACTATGGCCTGTCCGGTACTGTTATATGGGACGCCTTGCACTAACGTGATGCCCCATTTCGAGGCGAATTCCTGTACTTGTTTGGAGGTGAAATTGGAGCCGTTGTCCGTTTTGATCTGCTTGGGGATACCAAGCCAAGCCATGGCTGTCAGCCAGTGCTGAATTGTGGTTTTGGAGTTAGTTTTGGGGTGCTGTGTAGCTATGGTCGTTCCGCTATAAGTGTCCACTGTCACTGCTAGCCATGCTCGGGGCTTCAGCAGTTGACTCCAGGTGAAATCTGACTGCCAGATTTCTGAGGGCTTGAGACCTCTCGGGTTGACTCCGTAGGTCCAAAGGGGTGACTTCTGGCAATGAGGGCAGGTGGCTACCACATGTTTTGCATCCGCTGTTGAAATTTTGCATCTCTTCGCCAGTGCTTTGACTCCGATGTGGAGCGACTCGTGCAGTTGACGAGCTCTTTGCAAGGTCCCAGCGCCTTTTGCTTCGGCGTCCGCTTTGTCGTTGCCGATCTGGAAGTAACCCTTGACTGGGTCATGGCTGTTGACGTGGATGACTGACACGGTGCCCTGTCGCGAGGAGAGTGCTTCTTCCAGCATTAGGGCTGCTGCTGATGTTGACATTCCTGGTCCTGCCATGGCTAGGCAGAGCCTTGCCACGAATATAGAGTCCGTTACGATGTTGAGGTGTTCGTCTTGGAAGAGCCCGCACGCCAAAACCATTTCTGCTGCCTCCAGCTGTTGCACTGACAGCGTGGAGTCACACGCTTTGACGCAGTGCCATTGCTCTCCTGCCTGCCACACTGCTGCTGCGGTTGAAGTTGTGGAGGAAGCGTCTGTGAAGACCGTTGGTCCCGGCTGCGGTCTGTCCTTGACCTTCGGTGGCGTGTCCATGTCGACTACGGTCAGCAGCTGAGTCCAGGGTGGTCTGGAGGAGTAGGAGATTTCTCCTCTGAAGCCGGAGAGAGCAAGGGCCAGGTGCTCCGATATTGCGGCTGACTCTGTGGTCGGCTGCTTGCGAAACGGAAGGTGGATGCTTGTCGGCTCTGTCCCTAGGTGTTTCAAGGCGAGTCTCCTGCCTTTCATGATGAGGCTGGCGATGCACTCGATTGCTGGGGAAAATGCACGAGCGGGTCTTCCGAGGACCACCCATTGGATCGGTCGGGCCTTTTCTGCAAATCCTTGGGCCAGCGCTCCCACTCCCCCCTTCGGTGTAAAGTGGACGTACAGGTCCAGTGGCATGGCTGGGTTCCACCTGGCAAGTGTGCCAGTGGACATCTGGTTTTCGATGAAGTCGAGGGAGCTCGTTGCTTGCGGTGTCAACTCCTTGGGATCCCAGGGGTTCTTTCCTTTCAGGAGGTCGTATAGAGGGTCCATGACCTCGGGAGGAATCTGGACAATGTTGTGAAGCCACTGCAGCGATCCTACCAGGCGTTGCACGTCGTGGAGCGTCTCGGTGTCTCGGTTGACCTTCATCTCAGGGGGTGTCACGTAGGAGCCTGTGATACCTACTCCCAGGAAGGTCATGCAGGGTCCTCTCTTGATCTTTGCGCTCGCGATCTCGAAGCCGTTGGCCTGAAGGGTCTCCGTGACTGTGGTCACCAGGTGATCCACTTGGCTTGTCGATGGTGCTGCGACCAGGATGTCGTCCATATACTGGATGATGGTTGCGGTGGGATAGGAGTGTCAGACTAGCATCAGTGCTTTGTCCACGGTGATTTGGCATATGGTCGGGCTGTCGACCAGGCCTTGTGGAAGCACTCTCCATTGGAAGCGAAGGTTAGGCTGCTCGCCGTTCCGAAGTGCCACGGAAAAGGCGAATCGCTCTCTGTCCTCAGGGCGCAGGGGTATTGAAAAGAAGCAGTCCCTGATGTCCAGTACTGCGCATGGCTGCCCTGCGGGGATGGCTGAGTTCGCGGGAAGCAGTGTCTGGACTGGACCCATGGGTCTGATAGTCTTGTTCACTTCTCTCAGGTCGTGGACAAGACGATAGCCTTGTCCGGACCTTTTGGGGACCACAAATACAGGGGTGTTCCATAGGCCGGTGGAGGGTTCTATGTGACCCTTTTGCAGTTCTCGATCGACCAGTTCCAGCAAGGCTGCCGCTCGAGGCTCTGTCAGGGGCCTCTGCTCAACCCATACAGGGTCTGATGATTTCCAAGTCAATTTGATTGGCAGCGGAGGGTGTACGGCAGTGGCCCTCATGGTAAATTTGTGATCCGAAATCCGAGCATGGAAAGGACGTCCCTTCCTAACAGGGGTGGAGAATTTTGCAAAGTTGACTGCTCCCTGTGGGGACATGGGGTATGAGGATCCCCTGCCCCACTGGGGGTTGCTGTAGCAGGGCCGTCTCGCATTTGCAGCGGGAGGAGGCTGAGTGTGGCCCGCGCGCCCCCTCCCTCTCCCGTTTCCCCAGGGCTGGGATGCTTGGAGTGAGGGTGCTGCCAGGGAAAGCTGTGCCGGCTGGGGACAGCTCGCTGAGTTGCTGCCCTTCTCCAGAAGCCTGGGCTAACGCAGTCGTCCTGCCATTCCTGCTTAAATATTATCCGCCCCGCCCCGTCAAAAAGCATGCGGCTTATTTGCGTAATATCAAAAGTGAGCAGATCGTTATTGCTAGAAAGGTCGTCCTCAAGAGTGGGTACTACAGCTGAGTTGATCCCTATTTCTGAAACCGCTTTGGCTTCTTTTGGGTTAACTGGGGTATATGCCCTTTGTTGGTTCCCCTGTGCTCAGGCAACACCCCCCAGGAAAGCGTGCATGGAGGCTGCCGGTGCCCGGTCCCCACAGGCTGCTTTTATTTTTCCCCAGTCGGTGAGTTTGTGTTGTGATTGTTTCCCGATATTGTTTGAAGCTTTATTCGGTTTCGCTCGAAACCGCATTGATTCTGCTCTCTCGGTTTCCGAGTCCCAGCCGGGCTCGGTCGGCTCTTCGGAGCTGTCTGAGCAGATGTTACTTGACTCTGAGGCGGAAGCTGACTGCCGGTACACTTCCGGCGCTCTGTGCCGTTTTGTGCAGCTCCGACCCCGCTCCTCCCTTTGGGGGTGGTGCCGCTCCCTCCCCCTGGGGTCCCCCTGCCTCCTGCCGGGGGAGGTCCTTGCCCTATAAGGACCTAATTTGAATAGAGCGCTCTGGTTGGTTTTGCACTCTACCGCGGGGACCGCCCCCCCTTCCCGCTCGCCCGCGCATACGTTGTTAAGCAGGCTGACTGCATTTCCGCCCTTCTCCTCCTCCCTTCCGCCCTCGCCATGTGGTTCGGCGCCATTTTTAAACGCACATGGCGGGGGCGAGTTTTTACCGATCCCTATGGGGCCCGACAATCCGGCCGCGTTCCACGCCTTCTCCGCGGGTCTCTGCCAGAAGCATCGCGCGCGCTGCTCTGCCTCTTGTGCTGGATGGGCGACCGGCGGGGAAGGGACGGATAGAGAAACCGCGGTTTTTTCGGATGGTTCCGCAGGGGGGCTAGGACCCGGCGGGCTCCGTGGGAA